ATTAAATAATGATAAATTTAGTCCCCAAGGAGCTTTCGTTTATAAATTACGATTAAGGTAATACTAAGTCCGTTAGCGTATTTTTAAAATATTTTGCAAAATTCTAAATAAGTCTTGAATTAGCCCCAACAACAAATTGATTTACACTAACACCGAAGAGATTAAAGTTACTTCCGTTTGTGAAAAGCTCAAATGGAAATTTTGGTGGGGAGATAATTATGTTATTGAGATTACAAAATATGAACATTGGAATTGTGATAGTAATAAATTTAAATCCATATCTCCTGGGGTTGAAATTGGTTTGGGCCGCGAACCTTCGGAAAGTACATTCTTTGGTGTCACGGTAAGATATTGTACTGGTATTCGCATTAATTTGCTGTATATAGATTGAAATTTTAAATTTATTTTTAATTAGTTTTACAAAGATACTTGGGAAAGGGATTTCGCAGAAAATTGTGATTTATCAGCAGGGCGTGTGCCAGAATGGCATCCAATTGACTTTGTTGAAGAAGAAAGATCTGGAGGTGTTGATCACTTATTGAATGAGATTCGAAATTTCTTAGACGTCTTGCAAAACAACGTTTCTAAGGCGCAACGAAATTAATAACTTATAATTTGTTGTGATCTGTAATGTAAATAAAGACAAATGTCATGATGGCCTATCTGCTATTCTTGTAATTGTAACAAACAGTTTATTTATTATTGTTTTATTGCAAGTTTGCTGTTTATTTGCTTATAATATAATAAGCATTTTAGACTAAGTTATTTTTATATTTAGTTAGCTATTGAATTTTTAACTTTACCAGAAAAATTATAAAAAAAGAATTAATTTTATTTAACCAAATTTTGTTTAAAAATTTTTTTAAAAAAATAGTTAAATTTTTTAGATATTTTTTTTATAAAAATTTTTTTAAAAACAATTTATTAAATATATTGCATATTAGATTTTTTATTTTTTATTTTTAAACTAATTATATATTAGTATTAAAGCAAGCAAAATAATATTTTTTTTTTTAGCTCTTTGAAGTCTTGTTAGAGCCCAAATACAAAAAAATTTTAACTATTAAAATAGCAAATAAAATTCATTTTTTTTCAATTTGCAGACCT